CAGCCCAGAAGGTGGCAAAGGAAAATGCCCAAACTCTACCACAACCAATGAGAGAGCGAGAAAAAGAGGAAGTACGAGGCTAACAGCTTTAGAGAGTATCAGGAGGGACCATGACATCAGTGGGAGGTTGATGGTACTTTAACGTTGTGTACTCTGCAAAGTACACTTACATTTCAAATAAACATCTTACAAATAAAATTAGAGCATATAAACTGGAAACTGCCTTGACTCATATTACTTGACTCAGAAATAAAAGCTGCACAATTTAGATTTTAGATATTTTCCTCTTTTATCATAAAAGTAGTTTAAAAGAAAATTATAGATGAATTTGATCCATGTCTAATATTATCAGAAGCCTTAATGAAAAGTCGTATTTAGACTTTTCTTTCTATAATTTTATGAGAAATTTATAGATGGCCAATTTGATGTAAAATAGTTAAAAGAAATAATTTAGCATGTAATTATTAATATAATGCTTTAAAAGGGCATTAATTCTTTCAACATACTGCAGAAAAGTCTGTACAAAAGAATATATATAAAGCATAGAATTACTTATTTATCAGTCCATTCCTCCAACAGTCCATGTCCTTTTTCCTGATCCCAGTTTTATCTTTTAATAAAATGCCAATAATTCATATGTTTGTTTTAGGTGTTTAAAGTTGAGAGTGCGACTCCATTGAAGAAAAGGTATTTTGCAATTTGAAGACTTTTTAGATGGAATTTTGAGATCTGGCTGGCTTTATTTTTAATTTACAGGTATTGACCCTGCCACAATTGAGTTAAATTACACCAAAATAAAGATAATCTCCAGGTGGGATGGAGCAAATGGCGATGTGAGCTTTAAATGTTTCCTGATTTACTTCTTCAAAGTGCAGTCCAGGAGGTGATACATAGATCACTTTTCCTAATGGTTGATAATACTGAAATTTGATAATACAGCCACCCCTTAAGTTTAGAGCGAGAGTTTGTTGAATTCCTTGTGTACTTCCCTAATCAGAGGAAGGCATCTGATAAATAGGAAATGGATCTTTACCCCAAAAGACTTCATTCACAGAAGTTTTATCGCAAATATGCACAAAAATACTTTGGATACCAGAGCCAAGTGCTCGGATAGATATAAGTAGAGAAAAGGGAGAAAGACAGGGCATGTGACCCATGCAATCTCTTTGTCACCTCTGACCTCGAGATAAGAGTTCAGTTCTTACAGTACTCACTAAAACCAATCATATTAAGAATTTAGACATGAAAGAAGACAGCACTTTCTAACATGGCCAACATCAACAATCGTTAAGTCCCACTTAAAGACACACCTACGAAAGACAACCAATACTACAACAGTGGACAGGTTACTCACCATAGGAGGAAATTCCGTAGGGCTGTCCTGGCTGTGGGTATGTGGCGTACGCTGCGGCTTGTTGCATTCCTGGGGTAAACTGCGTTTGCCCATATGCAGCCATAGTTTGTGAGGAAGGGGTAGGGAGAATATGTGGGTATGGTCTGCTATTTGTCAGAAATGACAGAAAATAGAAAGCCCATGCATTAGATGGAAACATGCAATTAACAACCACATCGCAAATTCCAGTTAAAGAGCATATCCTACGGTCAAACTTTTAAAACTCATAGACAAAGCACTGAAACACCTCAGCGTCTTCACCAGGTGATGCTCGATACAAATTTGGGTAAATATATTTAAGCCTCTATGACACCAGACTCTATTTAAATTAAGATGTAACATGTGGGCACAGACATGACTTGAAGTAAAGTAAAAGTCTACTCAGAAAAGTTATCTATTGATTGAGAGAAAATACATCTTACTTGGAAGGATAAATCTGTGGTGGAGAGAACTGGTGAGCTGGTCTTGGACTAAAGCTGCTGCTCCCGACTGTTGAGGAAAGAAAAAAACCATAATAACCCAAGAAGAACACGCAGTATGCACAAAATATTCCTGTATTTTAATTATGGCTCTGCCTTAAGAAAGTTCAGCTGCTCGATCGTTATAACCCACAGAAATGACAATTTCATATTGTTTGACTAATAGAAAGCTAAACTATAAAAGAAAAGAACCTGTAGGAATTGATTGCGTGGGTCTAATTTTAAATGAATTCTTTATAAACACAACTTTAAATACCTATTGTGCACTGCGATGGAGTTCACAGTGGCCATTTGTGAGTGTACATAGAGTCCCAGCCCAAAGGGAAGAAGGGTGCTGAAAGGGGAGGGAGAAGGATGAACTGCAGGGCTGGGCAGGACTACAAAAGGTCCTCCGGCCTATTGTCTGTGCTGGGGGGGACACACAGGTCCTCTGGCCTATTGTCTGTGCTGGGGGGGGGACACACAGGTCCTCCGGCCTATTGTCTGTGCTCAGCGGGGGACACACAGGTCCTCCGGCCTATTGTCTGTGCTCAGTGGGGACACACAGGTCCTCTGGCCTATTGTCTGTGCTGGGGGGG